TTATTTTTGGGATAAACCTGTTTAAACAAAAGATAAGTCCGTTATGAGGTTTATCTTTTGCACGTGGACAGGTCTGTTCTAGTCAGACAGACCCGGTCATGAAATACACGTGAAAAATAGACCTGCCAATGCCCAGACAAAGACAACATGAAATACAATTAAAAGTTGAAATAGCATGTAAATGATTGTCATAATGTTCCCGTCTTACAAAATCGGGATACATTATTTAAACAAGACAATCAATGTTAATTGACTGCACTAATGCCTAGGTCACAAATAAAACGGGCGCCGTCCGATTAAACGATTTTTATAAAATCGGCAGATTTTTTGATGTCGTGGACGCCGGGCGATTTTAAATCTGATACCTTGCGTGGTCACGAATGAAACAGTCGTCGGGCGATTTTTAACGAGTGGATTTTACAGAAAGAATTGAACGGATCAGGCGGTCGCCGCCCGATGTCCGTACGGCGCCTGTGCGATTTAAAAGTGAATCGGACGGTTGCCGCGCGGGCACCGGGCGACAATGACTTTACATTTAATGACATCCTAGATCAATCAGCCAGTTGTAATTATGCCAGCAAAGAAGTCAGCTGCCAAACCCAAGGGAAGGCCAAGGAGTTGGTCCGTGTTGTTGACAACGAGTCACCAACGGCCAGTATCGAGGCCGTAGAAGGCGAAAATCAATCAGACATTCGCATGGACATTGAAGAAAAAATTCATGTTTACTAGTATTCAAAAGAAATTCACAAATATATTTTTGAGGCAATTACAACTTCTTCAAGTTGAAATTACAACAAACACAAGCAGCCCGGTCGCCGGATGACAAAACGATTATCGCCCGGTACCTGTACACAGGGCTGGGAATCAAAACTGCGTCGTATCCTACAAAATGTAAACAATCGCCGCCATCTTGGAACAAAAAACGTATGTTTTTGTTTATAACTCATTTTGTTGGAAATGACTGAAAACAAGATATATGTATTAACACGCTACACTATTTTCCGCTTCGTTCGGTATATGTTGCTTGCACAACTATTTTGTAAAACAAAAGTTATAGCGAACTTGCAACTCGAAGCGAGGCAGAATTTTTATGAAAATGTGTGGATACGACGCAGTTCATATTGCTTTATCTATCGTTTTTTCCTTCAAATCAATTATATATTTGTTTCAGAGTTCACCATAAACTTCGAAATATAATTTTGCATCATTTACTAAAATTCAATTAAAAAGAGATGTTTATTTTCCAAGAAAATAATGATTTTTACGAAATGATACGACGCAGTTGAAAATAAAATATGATACGACGCAGTTGTATTTTTGGCAGTCTTTTCAACAGGGATAATTTTGGCAATATTTTCTATTTTATGGAATAATCACTTGCGCTAGATAAAAACCCAGATCATTTGCGGTGTAAAGCAATGTTCTGTTGATTATTTAGAATACAATGTGTCATGTCCAATATAACATTTAATTTGAAAGTTTACATTGCGGAAGCTACTTTTCAGTTATACATGAACATGTTACCTTATTGATCATAATATCTGAAATAATTTCTTATATTTTCCTGCATGTATGTTCAATATTATCCCTAATTTTTTTCGCAAAATAAAATGTAGAAATCTATTAACTTAAATACATTTTGGCTAGCTACGCTCTAAGTTAACTGTGGTTCTGCATGTTCTGGGTAATGACTGCTTTTTGTGGTTTCTTTTCAAACTTTCACTCTACACATTAGCTTTACTAGGGGGCTAGGACCTCAGGTGCGCCTTTGTGCATTATTTCAGGCAAAATAGAACCATCGATATTTTGAAACTAGCTTGATAGGTTTTCCACACAAAAGAATAAAAAGTCACCGGTGGTTTTCGTATTTATAGCTGTTCAGGTCAAGTGATTTGAATTCAGTAAACATAAACAGCTCGGCCTCGGTCGGACACACCTGTCTGATTTGTTTTTTTTTCAACAAAATTTGTTAACGTCAGCTGTACAAATAAGCAGCTTTTTTATTAACTTCTGGCGTGAAGTTTTAAGATTATAAATATTTGAAATAATTATAAAGAGAATAAAATTTAAATTTCTTATTTCGGTATTAATAGCAGAGAAATTTTCAATGTAAACTGGGGGTAATCCTCTGTGAAGTCATTTTCTGAAAAATTTTGTTTAAGTTTTCAGGCAATTCATTATCAAATAAAAATTACACTTTAGTATGAAGGTATGTTAAGATGCCATGTCTCTAGTCTGTTGAAAATTCGATACGATAATCTGACATTTTCTGTTCAATATTGTGAAAACTTAATAATTCTTCAATACTGATGAAAGATCATGTCTGCCTATATCTGTATCAAATTTATCGGTGCATTGCGTAAAATACCTTTGCAAAACGGACACCTTTTTTACAAAATAATTTGTAGCTGTATCATATGTAACTCGATTTTGAAAAGTTTTTTGATGGAGAAGAATGATACTTAAGTGCAAATATAGAAAAAAATACATTCCGTAGACCTTTCCTCATCGGCGATAAAGAAACGCAGGGGTAAAGTTCCGCGGCGCTGAACATAAAATGACTAAACGGAACGCATAACCTACTTGCAAAAATATATTGTAGCTTAACCATTTATAATATAATTTAAAAAAATTAATGTTCAGTTTCAAATAATAAAGCTCATCTGTCCTCGTCGATTATTAAGAAAATGAATACAATAAAATTGGCACGTAAAAGACATAAGTAATAACGGAATTGACGGAAATTATTGCTCATTACAAGTAACAACGGTAGGCATGCAATTTGCGCATTCCCGATAGCGAGAGACCTTTTCAAAATTTGTAATTTTTTCTCTTTTTTTAAGAAAAAAGTCATTCCTGATTAATACAGGGTCCAGTGGAGGTTACACTGGAATATTGAATTTTGTATCAAAAATAGTAATCACTCCCATTTCGAACTCACGTGAACAAGTTTATAAGCATGCTAAGGCAACAGTAGAACACGTTGTCATATGGATGTGCGATCACGTGTTTCAATGTATATTGCATTTGATACAGCTTTTCGGAATTTGTAGATGCTTATGATTAGTACTAAAATGCGACCGAAAAATGCAGCCTTAATAAAATTGTATTACATTTCCATTTTTATGAAACCAATGAGTGACCTCTGCTTTTGACTTAAGTTGTAAACAAGAAATGTTGTAGGACGTTATTGGCATACCTAGCACATAATTTAAATAGTTTAACCCATATTCAGCCTGCAATGAAAATACAACTGCGTCGTATCATATTTTATTTTCAACTGCGTCGTATCATTTCGTAAAAACCATTATTTTCTTGGAAAATAAACATCTGTTTTAAATGAAAGTTAAGTAAATGATGCAAAATTATGTTTTGACGTTTATGGTGAACTCTGAAAACGAATATATAATTGATTTGAAGGCAAAACGATAGATAAAGCAATATGAACTGCGTCGTATCCACACATTTTCATAAAAATTCTGCCCCGCTTCGAGTTGCAAGTTCGCTATAACTTTTGTTTTACAAAATAGTTGTGCAAGCAACATATACCGAACGAAGCGGAAAATAGTGTAGCGTGTTAATACATATATCTTGTTTTCAGTCATTTCCAACAAAAAGAGTTATAAACAAAAACATACATTTTTCGCTCCAAGATGGCGGGGTTTGTTTACATTTTGTAGGATACGACGCAGTTTTTATTCCCAGCCCTGGTACATGAATCGTCCGGGTACCGGGCGATAATCGTTTGACTACTTAGCTCTATTCAGGCACCGGGCGGGGCCCGGCCGATGTCCGCCCGGACGCCTTTTAAATCGGACGCTGTTTTAGTAGAACAAAAAATCGCCCGATCAAAAAAATCATCGCCCGGTCGCCGCCCGGCGACCGAACGATGTCCGCTCGATGATATTTATACTCAGTGACCCCAAAAATTATCGTCCGGCCGCCGTTAGCTTTTAAGTATTACTTAAAACTCGAAGGCGCCCGCCCGATGAGCAAAATTTTCAGCTGCTGCCGTCCGATAGTCACTGCCGCCGGACGGACGCCGGCCGATATTGCGATTTTTTGGAGAAACAGACGCCGCCCGGCGGCATTTTCTTATTTGTGACCTAGGCTTTAGCAATTCTTCCAGTATCCCAATTCATTCTTTAATATACCTTCCATTACAGACCTATTCACTTTATTATTCACAAATTGCACATTAAGCTTTGTGATTATTATTTCAAAGAGAAAAGCAACGTTTATTGCAAAATACATTTATAATTATATTGTATTTAAGGAGAGTGTTGATAAAGGTTACCTGTATATGCGTTGTGTTAAAAATGATATTTGTGAATTACATCAAATGCTCCGGATCAGCAATTGCTCAAGCCAATTAGGTTTTACGGTGTGTAAGCTGGATATCGACCTCGTCCATCGTCCTGTCTGTTTAGGAAAGACCTAGCCACGAATTTCATGAAACACCTCGAGCGCTACGCGCCCTCGGTATCACATGAAATTCATGACCAGGTCTTTCCTAAACAGAAAGACCTCGTACTCGGTCGATATCCTATACTTATCTGTGACTTTCACACCATTTTAAGGCGTCTTTGATGAGCAACATCAACATTCAACTTTTTTCATCGTCTTGTCAATGTTTCGAGTTACGTGTGTCTCGTGATGGCCCTTACAGGACACCGTAGTAGTCCAACATAAAACCCATTTGTAAAACTACCAAAATTTGTTTTTTAAAACAAGTTTTCTTTAAACCTATCTAAAAAACGAAACAAAAAGTTGTCTTACGTTATCCTTTGCGTTGTTCTACTTTTGTTTGTTTAGCAATAATCCTTTGAAGAAATAAAAAGAAATATCAATGTCCTGGCAATATCATATAGTAGGAATTAAAAATGTTATGTGAAATATCAAGAGTTAAATTGATTTTAAAGAAAACGATGAATCATATCATACAGTTGTTTACGCTACGATCAATATCAATGTTTGCTTAGAGACGGTGTATTGCACGCCTTTATAGTTTTGTTAAAAGATATGTTTAAGCGATGAAAAAAACGAGTGCCGTATACGTCGATTATTTAAGAAAGTGTATTTATTTTGTGCAGTAGAGAGCAGCGGATGTATGATAATAAAAAGCTAAGATTATAGGACACGTTACATAAAAAACAAGAGCATTAACATGTTCTGAATAAGGCACCATTAAATCAGGAAACGTACTGGATCCCTAATTTGAATGTGAAATTGCCGTTGGCAGTATTTATTAGTTTATTGAAACCAACGCGTATAAATGAGTGAAGCTCTATATTTGCGATCAACGTACCTCTAAAATATTGATATTATCGAGTGATTATTTAAAAAAAATATGTTTTAAAAACAACAATGGATGGCAACAGGTAAGAAAATATTTACTGCATATTCAATTTAAAACTTGCTACTTCTACTCACAATTTATCATAATGCACGTTACTTTCTCGATCTGTTTTATAAATTTTGTTGAAACAACCTGTATTGCAATCCGTTGCTAGATTCTGTTTTAATATCTTTATTTTCAAGTTATGTTATCAGCCATTTGGAAATACGTGTTATAACAAGTGATAACAATATTACAATATATCGTCTCAGTACAACTCCTCTAACCTTTTATTCAAGAGCTGTTTATTTTTCACTAGATGTGCCTATGGTGTCATCAACCTGTTTACAAGTGCTGTAAATAAACCATAAACAAAATTTAATGTGAAAATGAATATTTTATACGAAAAACCATGAAGTAGTTCTTAGCATCCTATAGTGTGCTAAGATGTCATATTATAGTCAGGTGGCAAATTCTTCATTAGCTAAACAGTAACAATGTGGAGATACTTGAGATACTTGAAGAGGTTTGAGATTAGGTCCTTTATTTTCAGATACTATTACACAAAAGCGGTTGGGTATTTATCTGTTTAATTCCAGCCAAATTTGACCGAAATGTAAAATAAAGATCAAAGTGTATATATGAATTTGTATAAAAATATTTTTCTATAGATACTGAAGAACCTTTGCAATGCTTAGGAGGTTTGGGATATGTTTTGTCAACGATAATTAATAACTATTTTTATTTTATTTTCTGATGATTAATGTAAAAGAAAATTTAAGGAAGAACATGGAAATTCGATTTAATCACCCACGCGTAGGCAAGTAACAAAGTAACAAAAAGATAAACAATACACCTTGCAAAAACACGCTTCAAAATGTTTAAGTAAAACACACCAGGAAAAAAATTCATTATCATTAAAAGGAATTTTTCAATATCTCCTTATCGATTATATCTTTGTTTATTTGAAATATTAATAGAAAATGAATTTAGATGCTATAAATGCGTTTTATTGGTTGCTTACGCGACATACTCGGGATGCTGGCCTTCAGGTATATATGCAATTATCATTTAGTGCATTGATTAAAGTAATATTCTCCATTTAACCTCTCCTAAGTTAAATAAAAACATAAAATATGATAAACAAGATCAACAAGGAAAGGCGGCGTTCAATGAACGCAACCCCCACATGACCCAGCAACAAGAACCAATGGCAAGGAGCCCAGGGGGACCCCAAACAAAAACAGGACAGGGCAAAGACAGAGCACGGACAGGTTGATCATTAAATGATAATTAATTTGTAACTGATTAGGAATTCAAAGAAAATAAAAATAGGCCCACAAAGGGGAAGGGGACAGGAGACCGGGGGGGAGGGGGTGGGGAGTAATCAAAGAAATAAAAACTAGAGGCAATGGGGAAGATACTTACCGTAGACGAGAAAACAACAAGGGACACAAGCAAAAGTGTCACCAAAACAGTACGAAACAACATAAGACATACATCTGAGGAACACAGTGGGGCGCCGCCTTGGAACGGTCAGCAGCATAATAATGACTGCTGGGGAGTTTAAACCGGTTAATGGTGCACCAAACCTCGCTCTTAGCCCCACCATGTTCCTATAAACGAGACAGTGTAAATAAAATGAATCCCCGCCAAGTGAAATTCTAACAGTTGTCATGGTTACAAAAGGTTAAATAAGTAAAACACTAAAATGATCATGTAGAAACATATAAAAGTAAACCCAATGACCATAACAAAAGTACTCAATGTCCTAAAGGAAGACAGAGCAACAAGAAAAATCACCTACAAGGGCCCGACGAAGCAAGGCAGAAGACGAACATTAAGACAATTCAGTCCCAAAGGGCTTTACGAACTATCCATCATAGAGTCTCCCACTTGGTCCGTCAGATGCAATCAAAAGAGGAAAGCGTAGTGTCAAACTGTAAAAGGGTTGAACACTAAACATGCAGTATGTCTTAAAATAGTAGGGTCATAACCTCTTTTAATAAAACGTTTAATGATTTTAGTAAAAACAGCAGAAAAATTACCATGACCCAAAATCTTACGAAGTTTGTAAATCACATCGCCATAAAAACCAGGCTGGCTAATCCCTTGTCGCAGAAGAGTTTTTAAATCACTATTGAATTTGGAAATTAAATCAAAGTTACGATTGTAAAATTTAGTAAAATATTTCCGTAATTTATGATAGCGGTAGCCCTGTTTTAGAAGCTTGCTGGTAATAAAAATATTCCGCTCGTTGAAATCCTTTACGTTGCTACAAGCTCTAGCGAATCTAATTAACTGGGAAACATAAACCCCGTAAGATGTTGCATGGGGTACGTCTCCATCTAAATGTGGATAATTAACTATACAAAAGTCAAAGTCATCTCTTTTATCATAGATTTTCGTGTGAATAGAATTGTTGTTGATAGTAATATGAAGATCCAAAAAAGATGTACTAAAATTTGAAGAGTTCGTTTTATTAAGTTGTAGTTCATGCGGATAAATGTCATACGCCATTTGATCAAAATAAGGATTATCTAAATTAGAAATATCATTAAGGTATCTGGAAGTATTATTAAATGCGACTATAACATCTTGTTGTTTATCTTCAGAGAGACTCAACATAAAGTCTCTTTCATAGCAGTACAAAAACAAATCGGCGACCAGGGGTGCACAATTAGTACCCATAGAAATTCCTATGATCTGTTTAAATAGGGTATTACCAAACCTAACATAAATGTTGTCTAAAAGAAAAGAGAGTGCTCTACAAACTTCGTCACAGGTCCACATAGTATAATGTTTTACAATACCGTTAGTAAAAAAAGCTTTGTTAGAATTACATGCTAGAAAGGTAACTTTTTCCCTTGCAAAAGTTTTCTGAATTAGGGAAATTAGTTTATCATTGATTAATTTATGTGGCAAAGTTGTATAAAGTGTAGAAAAATCGTATGTACTGACAGTTGAAGCTTGAAAGTTCTTAATTTTGAATTTATCCAAGATTTCACCAGAATTTTTAATTGACCAAAAGAGATGTTTGCCTGTGTTTTCATAGACTTTATCACAATATCTAATTACATGTGTTTTAATGGCAGTCAAACAAGACGTCATTAAAATAGAAAGTTTACTTGTAGTGCAAGATGTAGAATTAGCAATGAATCTAGCTTTGTAAGGTTTTTTATGTAATTTAGGAATCCAATACATAATAGGAAGTTTAAGTTCTTTTTCATTAATTTGTACTTTAAGATTTGAAATATTAGTAATATGATTGTTTACAATGTCTTTTTCGGAGGCAGAGGTTTTAGAATACGCATTAGTACTATTTAGTTCCTTATGCAAAACGTTAATGTAATGGATTCGTCATACAATTATAATATTATTAGCCGCCTTGTCCGCTGGCACCAAAACAAATTTTGAATGAAAAGCTAGAATATCTTTCTTCAGATGTCTTAAAGTAAGTCTTGTTTTAGGTGGCAAAAGATGTTCATTTCCACGATAAAAATTAATACGTGAATCAATAATTTTAAAGATGTTACGTTTCCATGTAACTAGAGCATTACTATCCGCATTTTCACGGCGACACCATTTGACCGAAAAATCCTCTATAGATTCAGCAATCTGACCACGACAAGCATTAAAATCAATTTCAGAAGGAATTCTGTATTTAGGTCCTTTCAAGAATAAGTTACGAATTCTTTTGTCTGCAATTATATCGAAATTACCAGTGATTATATGGCCAAAATCTGAATTACAGAATTTAGAAGTATTGCAGTCTCAAACAAACGTCCAAACCATAATTTTCAAATATTTTCCACGAATTCAATAAAATTATCTTTTATGTTAATTTTAATCGGTTTCTGGATATTCCTTGAACCACAGAGAACAAAAATATATTATGTATTCTTTCTTTTTATATTCTAGATGTAAGTCTTTAAACGAGTTCTTGTATGAGCCAGGTTTTCAGAACTTAGTACAAGGAGTTCATGCTCTAAATACAGCAAGGAAATCATTTCGCGACTTGATAGAGAAACAGTGGAAACATTTCATTGTTAGACTCCCGGATACAGAGAAAGATCAACTTGGCAAACTTATCAAATGTATAAATCACCATGGCACGAAACCAGACTTTGCAAGCACTCTTGGTTGTGGTCACGAAACGTGTGATTTGCTATACGCCAGGTTAAGAAAACTTTCTTATGTCACGGGAGATATACCTGTTGAGCAAGATGTGGAAAGTTCATTACAAGAGACGCAAGAGAATTTTTCTAACACTGACAACGGCTTTAACTTTATCTGGGATTTGGCTAATTGTTTCATTTGTGTAAAAATGCAGGACTTAAAACTACATGGCCCAGAGCTGGATGCTAAAACATTAATTAAACTTATGAAAAATTGCAGGATGTTTGCATTCAAAGATTCTGAGAGAATTTATAGTCAGGTAAAAGTCTTAGAGTCCGGTCCTTCGGGATCATTGGGACCAGCACCATTTAGTTTTGAGAAATGAGTACCGCTCAAGCCGGTGTTACGGGGCGTGAGAGATGTTACACTAATTTATTATCCCTCATGTACAAACGCAATCAAACCGAGTCTGCAATTTTTGTAATTTTGTTACGATTTATGCTTCCGAAAGATTATTTTTCTGACGATTGAGAAAATGACTTTATTGACAATATATGAAATAACTGAATTTGATAGAAATCCAATCATCAAAAAGTATAACATGTAAACTTCTCGCAATATAAAAAAGTCCACAGTGCAGGGACACATGTGATTTTAGGTCTTTCATATATAATTTTAATGGTTCGTTAGTTTCATTGAGTCGATTGTGTTATTTGAAATAAATTAACATTATGTCATCACAAACACATATAAATACATATTATATGTTAAATTAAACCCGTTGATATCTTGCATTTTGTAAAACAGTTTATAGATTTCTTTTCAAAGAGTGGCAAATTTTAATAGTTTGAAGTTTGCATTACAGGCTTATTATTGAATAATTCAGTATTCTTTAAAGGTTTTGGAAAACATAGACAAATTTGTATATGCAAAAGACCTGCTCATTTCAAAAGAAGGCCTGGAAGTGTTGATTGATCAATTGTTGGCTCTTTTGCGTCATTGGCAAAATAATTGCCAGTCGTGTTCATATGGTTTGGAGGATATAGAAAAGGTACATTTATTGTTTTATCTAATTGAAATAAAATATTAAAAAAGTTTGAAATAACACCTCTCATCATTTGAAATTGAATTGCTTATCAATGTTCATAAAAGGTAAACAGCTAAAGGTTATTGGTTATTTTCAATGTAAATAACAGCTTTATAATGCAGATCGACAGTTGCTAAACAAGACTTAGATATTGGGCAAGCAAAGAACTTTTGATTAATCTGTTATAGCTTAACAAGTCTTTAGTATTAGAATTCATAACTAATTTTGTTGTAGATGCAGCATGATAATGCCGACTATGAAAACTTCGAATATAAGCTTCTTGTGAAAAACGTTCTGGAAATTATAAAAAGTATGTTGAATGACAGCGAAAGTGACAGAGATCTGCCTACAAACATCAAAAGCAAGGACGTGTCGTCTTCAAAGGAACTGATTTCTTCATTGCTGTCACAGGTGGAGGTTAGAACATTTCTGTCAATATTATAAATGACGCAGACATTTTAATTTGGACAATCATTCAACTTGTCATACATTGTATTTATAATTAACTGATCAATTTTTTAAGCAATTTTAAATATCATTGGGGCCAGTCTATATAGTTTTAGTGAAAACAGCTGGACATGAAAGTAAACCTGAAATTGACAATTTTATTCTCCTTTATAGGTAATGATATCCGCACTTGAGCCTAATGAGCTATTAGAATTAAAGCAGAAAATAGAATATTTGGAGGTAGAAAACAAAACATTAAAAATGGAGATAGCTGATGAAGTAAGCATATGCAGTCATGTGTTCTTTCATTTAGAAAATAATGTTGAAAATAATTTCCTTTTAAATTTGGAATGTTTTCCCCATATATAAATCTTTTTAAAATTGTTTGTATTCATTGAAGGTCATATTATATAACGAATAATAAAATTTCGACTAAACTTTCGATACAAATCTTTAAAAACTATATTTTCGTTCATGTTATTTTTCATTTTGTAAAATGTTTACTAAATAGTTTCAAATAAGTATTACCAATTAAAATAATTTATTCAGAAATCCAAGAAAGAAACCAAACTGAAGGAAAACAGAGAAATACAGGATAAAATGAAACAACTCGAAGCGGAACTTGAAAGACAAGTACGTTTAAGTGGTATTTTGCATATATTTCTACATGACGCATGGACCAACATGCATTTAAACAAGTAAAATAAAAAACTTAAATACAACCATACACGGCAAAATATGAAAGTGACTGTCATGTAATGCTTAAGTTCAATGAAACATATCTCTTTGCTTGTAGTCAACCCGCTCAAACATAGTCAATGTTATATACTAACAACTCTGTCGTATTGTATTCCGTTTTGCTACCTTCTTTTAATGGCAGAGTGCACATTTACTTTCTGATTTTCTATATACACTAATCACGTGACAGCAAACTTTGCATTAGTTGTTAATGCTTAGATTCCTGGCCTGTCTAATTCTTATGATCAGATAAGTGGATACAATAAGAATTTCATTATAACCTATTTGGTAACAGAAGAGCACATGCCAATAAATGTGGTTATTTTTTGTAAAAGAAAGGTCATAGTTAGGATCTATCCATTCATTGACCAATTAATGTAAATAATTGCAACCAACTATCCTTACATGAACAAACTCTTTCCATACACAAGCAAAATATTTGAAATGAACGAAATGTTTTAAGTTTTAAACGAGATGTGCATTCTAAATGCTTACACAATCATAGTTAGGCAGGTCAAAACTGAAACCGTGTAAAATTGGCGCAATGCCTCGTTTGGTTCTGTATTTATAGTTATACTGTAGTAATATAAAACACTTGCCTATTGCTAAACATGTGTCGGAATAAATTAGCGTTTTCAAATAACAAAAAGCTTTTCTCAACATGTCTCACAGCTTGAAAACCTAAAGCACGTAAAATGCACGTAATATAATTTGGAAAAAGATACGGTATTGCCTTTGCCCATATGAAGCAACTGTAAAGCAAATAGTAGGTTTGCCTATCATCCAGTCTATATATTATAATATTGGTTCGATCACAGTTTGGACGACAAGACCAAAAAGGAAAAAAAAACGAAAAAGATTTTGTGTATCAAGCTGGTACTCATTGTAATATTGAGACACGTAGAGAGATTTTCTTTATTGTACACAGAATAAGTAAGTCACATAAACTTGTTCTTTGTAAAGATATGCAAAATCTTCATGCTACCATAATACATTACAACATTTGAGAGACAGATGAAATCTTGAACAATAATACTGTAAACCCTTAGAGGAGGTTCAGATCAAATCTTGAACCATAATACTGTTAAAACTTGGAGTCAGAAAAAATGTGACCACAGCTTATCAGATGATCAGAATACAGGAAAGTCTTATTGTAGAATACCATAAATAACCTTAAAAATACAAGTGCATAGTAGTTTATACACAGAATGAGTACCTTAAATCTCAATTTAATTTCAATTTAATCATTGAAATAGCTTTCAAGAAACACATTTTCAGATTTTTGTAACGAATGAACACTTCTCATGATTTTTGTAGTTCCTTTTGAGTAAGCTTGTAATTAATCATGCACAATGATAACATATACGTACGTTGTAAATTAGCTAAGTTGTATATATTTTCCTATTCCTATACTCGTCATAAAGGTTCTTTCCATGTTAAATGTTCGTATATATAGATATAAGGCCTGGTTAAAATATGAAAATCGTTATTTAGGGCCAAAAAGCCTTCATAAATCTTAATATCCAATAATGTACACATATATTACGTTTGTTGAAACTGAACTTGTATCATTTTTCATTTCACGTTTTAGGTGTTATTTTATGATTTCTAACAATAAGTGCCATTCATAACATATGAATTCAGATTTCGGTTTTGCAGGTATAATGTTCTTACCTATTTTTATAATTATATATAATAACATGTTGGTTTTAAAATTAAAAAGTAAAAAACTAAGACATTTTCACACAATACATTTAAATCTTAAAAGGTAATATTCTCTTTCTAAACTCTTTTACAGTTTATAAACATTTAAATAATTAAAACTGGGTAGTTTTTACAGTGTATACAAAGTAACGATACTTAAATTGGGAATACAGTACTATACTAGACTACACTATATTCTACTATACTGTACTGTACTGTACTGTAATATACTAAACCAAACCATACCATGCCATGCCATACTATACTATACTTTAAAAAGTGATCAGAAGTATTTCTCTTTTTCGAACCTGTTCAAAGTGTATACACAATACAATAACTATAATACAGATAGGAAAGTTTATTTATTTTTTGAACCGGTACAGTAACTACAGTAACCGTATTTAAATTGACAAGTTGTCTCTTTTCGAAACTGTTTAAAGTTTAAATTTCCTGTTTAACCTTATATATTTCATGATTATCCAATTGCTATAAATAGAAAAATGGAAGAGATTCTGACATAAAGGGAAACAAAGAACTGCGAGAAAAAGTGTCTCTACTCGAAAGGCGCATATGCTTAGAAAGACTACACGTAAGTGTTGGCATGAATTTCGTTGATACAGAATCTTATACTGATTAGCTTATAAGACTGTAAGCCCCTAGAATGATGTCATTTCGTATTACTTAAAACTTTTCTTTTGAAAATCATATATCAAATATATAGTTGAACCATCTTCTCCTTCTTTTGTTCTTTGGCAATTCGCATAATTATATTGATTAAGTATTTTATATTTAAGTCATAATACTACTTTATTTACATTTAGCTACCTTTACTACACATTACTTCATATTCAGTGCTAATTTCACCAGTCTGGTTCATAGTGTGCATTTGAAACAAAATAAAATAGTTAACTTGCGTTTTTTCATTAACAGCTGGGTGAACTATATGGTGGCTGATTTACGCCATGTCGTATTTTCGCTTCTTCGCCTCAAAATGCGTAAATGCGAAAACAGGCGAAAAAGTTTTGTAATGTCTGAAAACAATGATTTATTATTTAATAGATAGTCATGTACATGCATAAGATATGTTGCATTCACGCAGATGTATAATTTAAAAGTACCATCCCGCTCATTACACATGTAACATTAAATAACGGCGAGACTTTAGGGCTGTTTTGAAACAATTAATGCACCAATATTAAATTAATACATTAATGCGTTCCGACCATTTTTAGATTAAAGCTTATTTTTTGAATATTCTTTAACCGCTGACGGTTTTGACATGAGGATTAATGATAAAGGCATTGCCTGCACACATCTTAAACTGAGATTGAGGTGTATTTTCACTAGTAAACATTTTATAATGTTTGTAAGTAACACAATATTCATTTGATTACGTAGAGAGCATATTGGATAAAGTTTCATTAAAAAAAGTTTGATGGTTTTATTTAGTTTTGATATATTTAATTACTACTAACAACTATGCAGTTATCATAAGTATTTCAATAACTTCAATTTTGGTCGCCTATGTACAATGAATATATCAAATCTTAGAAACCATTCGACAGTTTTGAAAATATTGGTTAATGGAACGGCATGTCGTATGTTAGGCCCATGTTCCATACACAACATATGAACTTCTCACGCGAATGTCTATAACGTAAATGAAGTTTGTCCCGACTAGGTCACGATGAGCCAAATTCCAGAGTTTGGTTCCCGTACATATAAAAATATGTTACAATACATAAAAACCTTTATATTCTCGATGATCTAAGATATGATGGTGTTTGTAAACGAACATTAAGACGGATATAAATACATGTCTTATCAACTGAACAGGTATGAAGTGGTTTTTATAATTTGTTATGAATATGAGAATAATAAAAATCATTCAGAGAAATGTAATAATAATTATGCATATGTCGTGCATGTTTGTTTGATGTTATCACGCAAATAAACATTAAATCAATACAATTTTAACATTTAACTTGTAGTAATGAAAAAATGTTTTATGTTTTGTTAAAGCTGCATAACTTGTGGAAATTGCGGTACTACCATAACACGTCCTTCAGCCTTAGCGAACGTCTCTCGTCAAGCAGGCTCCAAGTTGTAAGTTTTGGATCATTTCAAGATGTCGTTCTCAAGATTGATGGATTGATCATCCTTTTCGATCCTTTTGATAGAACAGAGATAAAACATCAATATTTTAGATATTTGGACTTTAATATTATAGATAGTATTCACAATTTCGAACTTGATGTTGTAGCTTTGAGTGCGTGCGCGTGCAGTTTCTCATATTCTATCGTCAGCAAAATAGTTCAGAAGAACCGTAACGTGAAATGGATTATTCCGCTTGAAAGAAAAGACTGGCTTATTCGTCAAGGAGTTGATGAAACAAGTATAACAGTGTTCGGATTTTGGGATGAGAAAACTTTCAACATTCAGCATCGAGATATTTCTGTTGTATGCACACCCACACACAGAAATAGTGTATCATCTGGCAGTAAAATGGTAATGATAATATTTATTAATATTCAAATTCATTGTCTTATTTATAGATAACGTACCGCCTCCCTGGTCCAGGGGTTAGAGTCGATGACTTCTAATCCAGTTACCTCTCAAGCGTGGGTTCGATCCCCGGGAGATGCATTGGTAGTTCAGCACGGAGGAAGGTAGTCTAGTACTGGTGTAACTCTCCAGGAACGATGATTAGGAAACTACCCGCCTATATGACTAAAATACTGTTGGGATAAGGCGTACAATGAAACCAACAAACAAACAAAATATCGATAACGTTACAAATCTAAAATGCTTATCATTGACACTAACTCATTAACTGGATGTATCTAGGACGAAAATAAGCAAATAATGTTATATCAAGGGGGAGAATCACGCCGTTCGTTACCCAAACAAACAAGATGGCGGATGCAGCCAAATTGTCGGTTTTCCCCTTTTTTCTCTGAAATTCGCGATGTTCTAATGTGAAGGTACAAATAACAACCTTCTCCACAATTTTTCTGGCACACAGGATTTTATTTCATGATGTTTCGTCCCGTACTTTATCTGAAATGCGCGTCACCAGATTCGAAGCGAGAGATTTTTTCATCGGTTTGATCGTGGTAACGTACGGCTTTTTCTCTAAAATTCACTGTTTCTTGTACATATATGTATATAAGCTGAAACCACTGACTTTAAAAAGTTGTAATATGTTGTCAAGTAAGCAATCATGCCCATTCTGGCTAGATTTACTGCTGTAAATATTAATATCGGGGCAATTTCCGGAAATGATAACGTATGGCGCACAAAATATCAATGATAACGTACGGCGCATTTTACTACTTGGTGGATTTTCATTTGTCCAATCAGCTGATAATGAATTATTTTTATGTAGGAAATGATAGATATCTGAAAAAAAATGTTGGTCAGGTCAGAAATACTTAATTGAACAATGCTGTACCATCAGTTATAAATATCTTTCTAGCTGGTGGCATAATAGATATCCGTTGTTAATATACCAATTAAAACACACGTGTATAGTTTGAGAATATTTTGTATAAAATGCAGAATGGAAAGAAAAGCCTCCACTTTCAGGAAACATTTGTGTAGTGTTGTCTTCGCATTAAATTTCGCCAGTGTTGTGCGATAATTATGGTCTTATCCCCTTATCGGAAAGAAGAAACGCATTCAGCAGAGCAAAAATGTTAAAAAGGTACGGACGGCTTGATACATTTTCTTTTCCAAAGAAAAAATCTAAAATCATTCTAACAAATTTCTGATAAGGAAATCTCAATATTTGAACCCGTAACGAAAATTGATTGCAACTAGCTTACACCCAGATGAGATGAGCTTGTATTTATTCAATATGGTCGCTCATTGAAAGAAAAATACATAACAGACAAAAATGAATGAGTGTAGGTTCTATAATGAATTTATTGAATGAGTTAGAAAATAATGTTTTATGCGAAAAAACTTCAATGAATTTAGTAAATAAGAAATTATGTTTATTTGACGGGCGGTCAATATTGAATTGCTACCATTTAGCGTGACGTTGTGCCACCATGACATCAGATATATTTACGCGACATTGCCTTACAGTTTTTATTTGTTTGGGTCTTCAGACCAAACAAATAATGGTAGCGAAATTTCAGAGTCTGATGCAAATGCCGAAAGTGGGCCGCTTTTTGAAGCGGTTACTTCCCTTTATATGTAAACTAACCCCGAAAAAAAATCAGGGGAGATCACTGCGTAAAGATGGTCAAATGACAGGCGCATTAATTTTCAAGCAAAATAATTCCCGAATGGTCGAATATTTCTAATATTGTTTATCCTTTATAGACATACATGCTTATAATAGGCTCCATGATTATTAACATCTGTGTTAAACAACAGTAAGCGTCGAAATAATAAGGGTTACAAACCCTAATTTAGAATAATATGGTTTTCTTCAGGCCTTTTACATATAACTTCACCGTGGGGTCTGGAGTTCAAATCCAGGAATTTCAAATTGTTTAAGTCAAATAAACATTGAATTGAATATTAGTGTTGCAATTAGTCTTAAAGCCAATTAACTACAATTAAAACGCTGGAAAGCACTGGTGGCACAGTCACTATACAAAAACAAATTGATTTATAATCTCACAACCTTAACCTGTCTGACATTCTGAGACCCAAACAAATTCAGCGCCTTCTGTGCTTGGATTTTATTATAGTAGACAGTAGACATTTTATTTCATTCCATTAGGCTTTAAAGCCGGTGAGGACATAAAACATACACAATAACGAACAGTTCATATAAACATAATATCAAAAATCATGAAAAGGTTTGGAGAAGATCAATTTTGATTGTTAAAATAAATACCAGCCGAAATTTTCTTAAGGAGTTACATAATGAACATTTCAAAATTGATCTTTAAACCAGTTACTTATAGGTCTCATGTATATACATATACATACACACATATACATGTACATACATACAAAAAAAACATACATTACATGATCCATTATTGCAGAATTGTTGTATATTAATCGATTTTTAAACGCAATTACAATATGTGTATACACATATCCTAAAAAATGAAGCTTCGCATCAATTGCGGATTTCATAATTGTAAATGAAAGGAACGTCATAATTTTATCAAAACAATTACATGCAAGAATTTGCCTATCATATTCTGGCGTTTTTTTCAACAAACCCCCAACAAAAACAATAATTTCTTTAAAAAAAAAGTATTGCAGGTATCAGCAATAAGTGACATTGGAATTTGCTTATTAATTTCTAGAGTTAATTATAAAGTTTCAAATCGGATATGGATTTCGATGTTTTTATCCATACCGGAAAACCCGTCTCCCCAGACCGCCCTCATGCGCTTAGATGACGTCATTATCTTTATGAAAGAACGGCTTTTAAAAATTATTACGCTACTCTTAAACTAGTGTTTATGAAGTATATGTAAGTGTTCATCCGTGTTGTTCTACAGAAATTAGAAACTTCGACGGGAGCGATAGCGACCGAAGCATATTTTTTATTTCGGTTTAGAACAGTTACGGATGAATACCAAACCATACTTAGTGTCAAGCTTTAATTTAGCTTCATATTAATATTAACTTTATTTTCGTCACTATACCTGTCTATTTGCACAAACCGCGGTTCTATGAAGCACTATGAAAAAAAATAAAAGGCTGCTATGAACGGACTTTTGATATATCATCGACTTTTGTTCTTCTATGAAATTTACACAAAGAATTTTAAGAAATACAACGCTTTTATTGGATGACAAATTAAACTGGACACTATTATTATTTATTTCAGTTTCTTAATTTGGTTCTACACATCCTCTTATGTCTTGTAAACCATAACTTTTTTATTATATAAAAAAAATCAATTTAATCAGAAAAAATGCGCCGTACGTTATCATTGATATTTTGTGCGCCATACGTTATCATTTCCAGAAAAATGCCCCAATATTAATATTTTCAGTGGTTATTCTAGCCAGAATTGGCATGAATGATTAGATGACGACATATTACAACTTTTTTAAAGTCAGTGGTTTCAGTTGATATACATATATGTAAACGGAAACAGTGAATTTTAGAGAAAAAAGCCGTACGTTACCACGATCAAACCGGATCTGGAAATTCTCTCGCTTCGAATCTGGTGACGCGCATTTCAGATGAAGTACGGGACGAAACATCATGAAATAAAATCCTGTGTGCCAGGAAAATTGTGGAGAAGGTTGTTATATGTACTTTAACATCAGAACATCACGAATTTCAGAGAAAAAAGGGAAAAACCTACTTTTTGGCTGCATCCGCCATCTTGTTTGTTTGGGTAACGAACGGCGTGATTCTCCCCCGTGTATATGTACTAATACACACTTCAAAGTTTCTGTCTTAAAATATTAAGAAGATAAATGGTAATCACTTGTAATGATTGATTAAAGTAAAATGACCTTTTTTTCTATTGAACGGTTAGTGTAATACATGTGGTTGGATAGTGAAAGGATCAACAAGGACGTTTTATTCGGCTGGGTTCACGAACTACAACGCGACAAACTTCTCCAGGGTGAAAGAACGATACGGTCCAATCCATTTGACTTTACTACCCCTATCGAATACATCTGGGTAGGTAGTTCCTCTAGTTTTACCAAACACAACTGTTCAATATCGCGTTATTCTAAATTCAGTAAGAATCAAAATAACAGAAAATAGTACATAATGCAATAATGAGCATTTGATGGTCAATTCTTTGATGCAATTAAAACCATAATCTGTCTAAACCATTATTAAATGAAATTGTGTTCCTAGTTTATTGATAAATGCGATTATTTAAAAAAAAAATAAAGACACCGTTTACTTAAAACCAGGGTAGTCCAAAATCCCATGACAAATTTTAAGGTCAAGTCATAACGCCAGAACATCATTGTTTTTGGTTTGATGTGGTTGTCAAATTTATTATGTTTCACTGCATCAAGTAATTTGCTCTTGAAATATAAGCTTAAAGTACTTTCAAATTCTCATGATTTAAGATATAGTCTCACTTTAAAGCGCACGTCAAATCATCTGCAATTTGTACTGTATATATTTTAATGTTTCAAGTCCGCAAAATATCACATCCATTTCTTCTTTGGATATAATAATAATGACAATGACAACTTGATTTCAAGAAGGTAACATATAAGTTTGCAGACTTAATAAAAACTTACATACGCCTTATTTTCAGTTGGCCTTCTATATACGAGAAAAAGTTATTATCTATTATAATAATAAATAGCAATAAGAAAAGTAATTCTTGCATATCAGACAGGATTATCTACCGTTTACACCGGTGCTAAGCTCTCGGGTAACTGTTTAGCGGAAACTCGGCAGAGCCTCGTTACCGCCGTAAACAGTTACCCTCGAGCTAGATATTCCGGTCTGTACCGGCAGCCAGTGTAAGATTCTTATAAGGTAAAATGAGAAAAAAAGCAACAACAGCAGTACAAGTTATCACAAAAGTTAAATACTAGCACATCTATTCATCAATGTATTGGTTAATTGAAAAAAAAGAAAAGTTAGTTTAAAAAACATTCTACGACTGACACTCATTATTCATATGTAGATGTAATTTAAAAAAAATCCTTTAGAAAGCGTTTATATTTATGGGCCATGTGTTATTACTTGATTTTGTTCTGTACGGAAGATCCATATCGTAGTAAGAAAACGAATCTTTAATACAGTTGGTACGCAGTCTGTTTTTTAACACAATAAAGAAATATAAAGTTTGACGGAGTGTATCTCAATCATGTATGCCGGAGCTGTATGGATACAAGGATAGTGCTATTATATTTACATAGGTCTGTAAAAGTTCACCAAATCAGCCTTTTAAACAAACCGACAATTAAAATGCTACATATCAATCCTTAAATAAGTACTTCTTTCATTGTTTCAGAAGCATGTCATGTTCACCAGAATTCAGTGTAGGAATTGATGAAATTTTAGATATGCACAACATACTTCAACCATGTACATCACTTGGTATAGTAACAACAGAAACACGGGACTACTGGTACCAACGTTCTATGGTAAAGGTACTTGAACGGAAACATTGTTAGAATGTAAAGAAAAAAACTCTGTTTAGGTAAACTCATTACAATGTGAAGAAAATTGAGTACTACGACACAGTTTACATATTATTTACTAATTTGGTGAAGATTAGTATAAAGTTATAGGTACACCTCGATAACATTTTCTTTCCGAAGCAGTTATGTATAATAAAGGTGACACAGATAATGAGCAGGTTATTTTCATCTGTTGAAAATACACTGTGCATTACAGAGTTTTTCAATGCATTGTGAAAAATATATAGCTTTCTGTTTTGCTCACATTGACTTTGTAAGTGTCGGCCGTTTCGCGAGTCATACTCTCATGACCTTGTAAAACTTTATAGAACATATTACACATGACTTATCAAGAAAGTTTTATAGCAAATCTATAATATGATTTTGTGTTGATCTGTCATAAATATTTCAATATGAAAGATATATTTAAGGGTTCAGTTGATATTCAGTAAATTCATTTAATATTTCATTTAATTACAGGACAACAGAGAGATATTAAAAGAGAAAATGGAAACTCTGAATTTAGATCCTGAACGATTTCATTTTCTCGAGCCGAATGTGCCATACATGTATGTAAGTGACTAGAGTTAAATTGAGGACATAATTAGAATTGAAGACTACATACTTTGTTTGAAGAATCGTAGTGAGTCAAGTTACCCGGAATTTTATCACAAATGAGTAGTAGAACTAAGACTTGTCTCAATATTTCGACTGCAAGACCGACCGATTTTATAATCTGATATTTCATAGATGTTTGTCTTTACGTTTCAACTTGTTAGATTCAAAACTGTGCTTGAAACCGAACTGATCTGAATTTCATTATTTTCGCTAAAATATGAAAATTTTCATACTGGCATGTACATTTGTTGTTATAAACCATACATTGTTCTTAAAATAATCATAATATGACAAAAAATAGCTTAAATTACCTAAAACACCATAATATGGTATTTGTCAGCGATATTAGTACACCACAGGAGCCTGTACGCGGTAAACACATACAGCAGCGCTATATCATAAAAAATTAAAGGTGTAAGTAAATAATTTGAATACATTTAAATTTAGAAACTACTAGCGGTGACGAATATATACTTAAAATTATTTTCTCGTACCCTTGTCGCCGAAAAAATCACAACGTTTTAACTACGAAAACCCGGAAGATCCCTTCGTCCCTAGCTCTCGTCCTACAACAAAATTTCAGCACAATAATTCATTGACATCAAAAAATAACAACGGTACTTAATTTTCATTCCATTTAAATAATCATTATTACCAACATAAAAGAAGCTTTACATACTTAATAACAGGCAGATTTTATAAATGTGTCTGGCTGTAATAGAACGACTTACTTACAAAATAAGTTAACTACGCGCTGTATTTTGTTTTTTATCCCAATAGAAACATTTAAATATTTGTAAAGAAAACAGCACCAAAACAAGCATTGTCCAAAGAACCTAGTATTTGTTTACCCGGTTGTAGTCTAATTTAGGTGAATTTGTAATCATAATTAATAGAAAATACAAATTAAAACAAACGTCATCAAAGTGCGCTTTTCCCCTCATTCCTTTCTGTAATACTAGAATTGAAGTAGCGAATAATTTAATGAAAGAAAATCATGCAGATCCTTTTGTCAACAGTGGTGAAATTTGTTAAACAACCGAACAGAACAGGGAAATATTTATTCCACGCGGAGAAAGACATAAAAAAATGAATCACCTCTTACTTTGTATTTGAATAGTTGTTTTAGTTAAGTCAATTCTACCGCTACGCATCATGCAAGTAAGACATCTAGACCCCTTGACTTCTCGACCCCTTAGGATATTAAGATGACATCTAGACCCCTTGACTCTTAGACCCCTTGTAAGATGACTTTTCGACCGCTACTGACTAAGACATTTCGACCCCTGTTTTAGATGTTGGACTTTAAAAGAACTTTAAATATATTTAGAAAATATTGTAAGACTTATTATATAATATTTAAGATTTTTGTTTAAATTTATTTGTTTTTCTGAAATATCAGTTGCAAAATTTACATTTTTTAAAATCTAATTTTGGTGATTAATAAACAAAACACAGTTTTCATTTGTTTAATTACGGACTTAAATCGGATTAAAGTCCCGTGGTTTAATGTACTGGTGCTAATTTATAATTTCGTCATTCATTAAGTAACAATTATTTATTACATATATAACATCGCGCGTTACAAATGATCTTTAATGTTATAGAATCCTTTGCTAATTATTTACACACATTTTTAAATAATATCATTTACTCATACTTGTGAAGATATACATCAAAACGAGTATTTTCTACAACATTTCAGTTTTATTAACATTAAGCGTGTTTCTTATTAATATAGCATGAAGTGAAGGAATATTCTTACAGACCTTTCCTGCAACACCTCTGGTGAGTAATGTTTCATTTTTCCATTTACATATTATTAATAACTAAAAATTTGTAAACTTCAGTTTATTATTTTGTAAGACATAATAATGTTACATTGGCAATGAACGTTTATACTAAACGAAATATTGAATTGTGTGTAATAGTTTACGGAAATGTTATTATTGACTGCATAATAATTTACGGAAGCTGACCCCCCATATTTATCAAAATGAAAAAAAAAATATCAGTAATTTTAGGTAAATGGTATAGTTGAAGATATATTTATTGACTTGGTCTGTCAGATATTTACAAAAAATATATAATTATGACTCACTACAAAAACAATAAAAATTCGTAACAGTGAAAATTAGAATAAGCCATCGTCGGATACCCACGGCCAAACCATTAACAATTATTGATTGCATGTTGTGTGACATGTTTATCAATCGTGGGTATCCGACGATGAGAATAAGCGTGCAATAAAAATAATTAAATAATAAGGATTAATTTTTGATACACATTTAATCACTTTCATACATATTTTGACCACAAAATATGAAAATGACTTTAATAAATTCTCATCATACATCTCCCTTGTGCTGGTTTAATGTCATACATGTAAATGTTTAATCAGTGACACGTGATAGGATAAACACCGGCGCGTGCCGTTAAATAATCAAATTATCGGACATACATGTGTTTATTCAGTGACACGTAATTGGATTAACACTTGCCGATACTAATCCGATTATCGCTCATTAGAACGGTATGTACATGTATTATCAATAAACATAACTTTATTTTTTTTTAATTTTGTTATAAGATGAACAATTTGTATTTTTCAGGTATCAGTAGAATCGATTATTACAAGGCACGTAAACTTTTAAGCGTCGCACAGTTCACTTGTAGTATTTGCAGTGACGCTCTATCAGATCAAGCAACACCTGATCAATCATTCAGACAAGGAAATGTATAATTGGAAAAAAATTATCAATAAGAAATGCAAAAATACAGTTTCAAAAAGTGTATATATTGTAACTATTGTAGTAATTACATATATGTATATAAAGAAAGTGATAGTGTCTGCATATTCTATGGATTGTTATGACAACATGACTTAAACGCTAGCATCGAGGGAAAAAGAGAGACAGTTGTGGTTATTCAGCGCGTTTTCAAGTTATTTCCGGTGGGTGAACAGGGTAGACGCCATTTTTTTAACCGAGAAAATTTGAAACTAAAATTTTGGATATAAAATTTATTTGGACTTATAAAACGGACTATGTATGCTCAAAAGGATTCGTTATTAGAGGATGAAAACCTGAATATGAAAGGGTCCAGATTTACACCCTTGAGAGGTGATTTTCACGATGTCAGGTATGATAGAAAACGTCCACGTCACCACACGGGCACCCCACCAACATCAGACCATCCGAACTTTGATAATAATTTTAAAGCATGGCCTACCCTGATTGACTTTAAATCGCTATCAAAAAATTAACTTCAATTTATGATGTTATGTTAACGCATCTTGCACCATTAAAAATGAGAGTGGACGGTGTTGAATCGCACATGTATATGAATACGGCCAAGTTGGAAATTGTAGATAACCGGTTACGGTTACTTGAATATAAATCTATTGAACATGAGGTGCGTGTGAGATCCAGTAACCTAGTTTTCGCGGGTATTCAAGAAAATCATGATGAAAATTGTATCATTAAGATTAGGCAATTGTTACGAGAGAAACTGTACCTAGACACGGATGAGGTACTTATCAGACGCGCGTTTCGAGTCGGCAGACGCAAATGTATACAGGGCCTCGAAATACCAAGGAATATTATCGTCACGTTTGCCGACCCGCACGACGTCGAATTGGTTATTGAAAAAGTTCCAAATCTCAAAGGTACAAAACCGAATATCAGTATTAACAGAGATTACCCTGCAGAAATATCCGAGGCAAGGAAAGAACGTGGCCGCTTTATAAAAGGGCGAGGGAAACTCACGGTGTTAAAAATGTCAAGTTCAAATTCCCGGCGGCAATCGAAGTGAAAGGGTCCATAACACATGACAAATTCCCTGACTGGTACCCGGTATTAAGAGGATCGCGACATGAGAACGTCCAGGAGCAAGTGTCTCTCTCACTTAAGGCCAATATAGAAAAATACACCGAATTCTAGGCCGGCCATATGAAACCTACTAAATCAGTAACCAATACGCCCACGAACAACATTAACACTTCAAATGTTGAATTAATCGAATCGGAACCAGGACAGACCACATCTCAGCAAAATATTGACGCAACCGTACCGTGTCGATCACGCAGTAGCATCCCACCCATGACATCGCACGTTGCGGAGATCGAACCCCGTCGTTCTTCAAAACACTCGGGGAAAACTTCAGCAGCAAAATCGTCTACAGTGGACAAACATCACAACCCAGCATCAAAAGATGGGTTGTTATCTAATCAACCCAATTACGTTACGTTTAGCGGATCGGGCTCCGACAGTGACAATTAGTACAATAGGGGGAAACAACCATGGAATGGTTCAGTGAACACTAATTCAAATTCGTATAAAGTGAACATTAATACTAGTTCAGATAGAGCTCTTAAAATAGGAACTTTAAATGTATGTGGATTGAAATCCCGGATAAGATACACAGAGGTAATTGATTTGATTAACATGTTTGATTTTTTCTGTGTAACAGAAACAAAATTAGTCACTACTGATATTATTTCTATACCAAACTATGAATTCATTTCAAAACCTAGAGAACAGTCACATTTACGGAAATCCGGCGGAATTGGTGTTTTTGTGCATACTGACTTTATAAACTATGTAGAAATTTTGAAAACAAATTGTGAATATGTTTTATGGGTAAAGATTAGTAAATCAGCATTATCGATTGATAACGATTTAATATTGGCTATAATTTATGTACCACCCGAACAATCACGATTTTTTAGTAATGATTTATTCTCGCTTATGGAACAAGAAATTGTTGAATTTTGTAGCAAGTATCCCTATGTATTTTTGACTGGTGATACGAACGCCCACACAGCATGCTTGCCAGATTTTCTTGAAACAGATAATTTTCTTGCCGAATATTTTGATTTTGATTCGGAATTACTAAAAAAAAATTATGCATAAAATAACTTATTTAAGCTAGATATACCATTAAATAGAAAATCCAAAGATAGTTAGAAAAACCAGATTGGCTACAAGTTACTTGATATGTGTATTAACAATAACCTATTTATTTGTAATGGCAGAATAGAGAAAGACGCATTTAGGTAAATATACATTTAGAGAACTTCGGTTATTGACTATAACATTTCAAGTGTAGAACTTTTTGCATTCATACAAGATTCTGAAATTATTGATTTGGACAGCCTATTTTCGGATGGTCACTCTCTATTGTCAACTAAGATTAATATTATAAAAGGTGTTCCGATTGAGTATGACAGCGCTCGTAACTATAAACGTACAAAATGGCAGGAAAATAAAAGGAATCAATTTGTAACTAACATTAATCCACGCGATATATCCGATATTAAGGAAATTTTAGAAAACTGTACATTCGAAAATGCTGGCCAAAATTTTAATTTAGCATCTAGTAA